GGGGGGGGGGGGGGGGGGTGGCGCCCGGTATTTTTGAAAATGCTTGTGAGCCGCTGATGACAGCTATTAATTTAACGGGGACAGTCTGCTGAACAGTTCAAAAACTAGGAATGCACCGCAATTTTGGCCAAAAGATTTGGAAGGGCAAGGTTTGGGACCACAGCTTTATTGGCCACAATAAACAACTTGCCATAACAAAATCCAAACAATTTTAAACTTTCTATTGACAACACAAAACTGGTGCCAGTCACAGATAGACTGAGTACCCAACATAACTAACCCTCGAGTTCAGGACAGAAGTAACCAGGACCTGCTAGGCATCGAACAGATACCATATTCTTTAGTAAGGTAGAAAAAATCCGCTGAATCTTCCAGGCTGTAAAAATGTCCATCTGCTGCAGTCGATCCAAGGAGGATGACCCGTGTGGGAATTTCTAAGCTTTTATCTCCTGGAAACCCCCCCCCCCCCCCCAACATTATATAATGACAGGTGAAAACACTTAGGGGAAAGTACTACATGTATGCCATGCTCCCAACAGTCAAGATGCCCTGTTACTATAGCTCAGGGCTCATACATTATACCTGCTAGCATCATTCTTTAAGTAACAGTCTATTTAACCACTTCTCCTGGATGTGGGTGGGTGTCTTTATACGTCCTTCGCGCGCGCCTGAGCCCCCTTGCGCGCACGAGGGGAACCCGCCAGGATTTTAAACGGCCAGCGATGGCCATTTACATACAAGTGGTCTGGCGTCTGTAAAGACACCCGATCGCTTGTATGATGCAAGTGAGGGTGCGCCCCCTCCCCCTCCTTACCTCTCGTCGCCGTGTCTGTCCCCGCCGCCATCATCCCCGAGATCCCGGTGTCCATCCGTCCCGGGCGATGTGGCTCTGTTCACTGAGAACGGAGGGAGATCAGTCCGCGATCTCCCTCCGCTCTCCTCCCGGTCTCTGAATGCAGGAAGTGATGTATATTACATCACTTCCGCATTCCTCTGTCACTCTCCGGTACAGAAACCGAAGAGAAGCTGATGAAGCAGATCTGTGCTTCATCAGCTTCTCTGGGGGTCCCTTGGTTGACATTAGGGGTCTTAGAGACCCTGATGTCTCCATAAAGGGGACCTGTAACTGTAATTTGTTATCTCATAAGAACACCCTATATGATAACAATACAGTAAAAAAAAAAAGTAAAAAAAAAAAAAATGCTCACAAAATAAATACAAATTTACACACACACAAAAAAAACCCACAAATTTTTTTAAAAGTCCCCCACCCCCACGTAGATGTGCAAAAATGCGTTAAATGCGCCTACAAAAAACGGCGATTGCTCCAATTATGCTGCACGTGTTACATATCGCCGCGAACGTCACAATGAGAGCAATAATTCTAGGGCCATCAATCACTGATAACACTAAACTGATAAGCGGTAAAATCTTTTAAAGCGTCGCCTATGTCAAATTTTGGCTATGGTGTTTTTTTGCGATTTCGCATGGTGATTAAATCCCACCAAAAGAAAGCTCTATCTGTCCCCCCAAAAACTGTATAAAATTAATTTCAGTACAGCGTTGCATGACGAAATAAACGTCAATCAAAGTACCGCAGCGCTGAATACTGGAAATGGCCTGGACAGGAAGGGGGTTAAACACCCCGGTCAGCAAGTGGTTGAGTACACCGCTTTTCTAATTAGTTTAATACTAAAATCAGTGTCAAGCAGGTCAACACAATGCAAAACAATGCAACCTCTGGATTGAAGAAGTCACTAATAGGAATATGTTATTATGGGAGTTCTTTTTCTCTTCTTACACTTATCATGAAAGCATCTGCTAATAGTAAAAAGCAAACTTACACATAATCTTTTAGTTGCCAGAAAGTCGTTTCCTTTAGTAATTTTCAAGTATAAGGAAGAGGGGAGAATAAAGATCAGCATGTTGGCAGATGTTGCACCTGTGGAATATAGCAGGGCATATGTTTAAATTATGAGCTAGAAACTGAGGCGATAGACATGAATGTATGTGTAAGTGTATGTACATACACATATATACTTATCTGCATGATGAACATAATGGAACCGTGACATTTTGTAGTTGATTTACAAATAAAAAATTCTGTGAATATTCACTTCATGTATCCAGTCACATTAAAAGCAAATACATGAGGACTTTGTTTACCCAATCATGTGCACACACTTTCAGCATGATTGGATAACTGAAGTGAATATTTACACAATTTTCTCAACTTCTTTGGTAAATCAGTCTCGTTATCTTGGGAGTCATTTACTAAACAAAAATTATGAACACCAGCTTAATAATATTTTGGTAAATTAAAACAAGAAGTTAGGGTAAAGTGTATTTATTTATTAAAAGGTATTTATATTGCACCATCAGTTTTACACAGCGCTTTACATGTGTACATTCACACATGCATACCGGGCTAATTTAGACAGGAGCCAATTCATTTTCCAGTTAGTCTTTGGAGTGTGGGAGGAAACCGGAGGACCTGGAAGAAACCCACGCACGCACAGAGAGAACATGCATACTCCTTGGAGATAGTGACCCTGCCCGAGATTCAAACTGGGGACAAACACTGATTCAATGGGGACAAACAGGACAAACTGGAGATTCAAACAGTGCTGAAAAGTGGAAGTGCTAAACACTAAACCATTGTGCATAAAACAGTCATTTGTGTTTTTTAATATGTTTATGGTCTTTACAGCAAACAGGGTTGCTGATTTAAGATAAATTGCTTTTTAGTATCTCACCCTATTTAAAACCAAAAAAGTGTGTCCATTCATTTGAAATACATAAAAAATGGTATTCAGTATATCACACAGAGAACAGCAGGGCTGGCGGTAAGTGACGGTACTGTGTACCGTTGCGTTCCGCCCGAAAAAAGCTCTGGTCATACACACCCCAGAGGATCAGCAGACTGACACTTGGACACTGAGGATCAGCAGACTGACACTTGTCAGGCTGCAGGTAGATCTCCACATCCTGACTAACAGCCTCCATTTCTCCGGGCTTCTCAGGCTTGACACAAAGCTTTCCCCATTTCCTGTCCATCCCTTCCCTGTGTTTCCTAGTAATGGACCTGCGCACACTAAACTCTGTCATGTGAGTGTGGGCAGGGCTACCTGTTACTCACTTACTGGATATTATCTTTAAAATATCTATGGAATTTGGAAAATAAACCCTAAGCTGCACACCTACCCACACGATTCCCATAAAAAAACGGTGAGGACGTCACCTCAATGGGGTTAATTCACAAAAGGCAAATATGCTGTTCACTTAGGGAATTTTTGCTTGGGGTGAAGCTCTGCTGACTTCTATTATCCAATCAGGTACAAATTTACTGTTTTTTTTATATTCCTTGCATGAGATTGGAAATTCTTGCAAAGTGAATTTTCACCACATTTACTAAGCTAAGGGAAGATTCCTTTGCAAAATGAAAATTCCCTTGCAAAGGGACCAGGCTATTTTCAACCCCAATGTTACATACGCTGGTAAGACCAGTAAACACCAAATGGAGGAAGGGTTATAACTTATAACTGCATCTTGAAGTAAAAAACACCATTAATAATTATTGGTAAAGCATAGAAAATGTCTCAGCTCTATTTTTTTAAATTAATCACTGTAAAGTAGGCATTAGTGTTACTGTATAGAGGAAAAGGTAGAATACCCACAAAGTTAATTAAAAGCTGTTGAACCTTAGTAAAAATTCTAAGCTTTTACTTCACTTACTAAGAACATTTATGACTGCTGTTTATATGCTGCTTAATATTTTCCTCCTAACCAAAATAAAAAAACATATGAAAATGGTTTTACCTATTGCGCCAAATATATCCTTCATTGATGGTATGAATATAACAAGTAGATCAATCACTGTTAGAAGAATAAATGTCACTGCTAAATGCTGCCGAAAATTATACTTTGTCTCCCGAGCAAGTTCAAATATTGAAGAGCGAACCTTTAAAGAAAGGCATACAACATATATAAATATACTTTAAACACAATATCATATCAACCATGCATGCCCAGTTAATGTTCTCCTCTTTAAAAACCTAAGTGACCAAAAATGCAACTATAAATTGTATTAAATCTGCTACCTAATATTGCCTACATTCATCTAGAGACTTTAGCCAGGAGCTAAAAATAGTTGCAAGAACCTGAAAATGTTCTCACTTGAGAGAACATACCGTAGTAGTGGTTCCCAAAAGCATCTTGTATTAGGCATATTGAGAGTTTTTACTCCTTTTATTCATGTTAGTAAACCTTGCTAATACTTTCAATATAGATTTGTACCGGGAGGTAAACATCAGCCTTGCATGTTCATACAGACATTTTATGTTCATATATACCCATCAGGGACGTGCGGTCAGGGGAGGCAGAGCCTCACCTAGAATTATGGAGGAAAAAACTGTCAGCTTCATGTCTGAAGCTGACAGCTTTTTCTCCATTCAGATCGGCATCTATCAGGTTACACAGCAGGGAAATCCTCCCCGTTGTGTAACCTGCCACAGATCCTCAGCGGTGAGGGGCAAGTGAGGGACAGGGAGGCTCCTCCCTGTCTCCTCCCTTCCACTAGCTTGGGGACAGGTTGGGGACGGGCTTTGTTCGACGGGGCGGAGCGTCAAGTCGGCAGGAGGTGGAGCTTCAGCCTGTGAGGCGGGGCTTCGGTTGGCAGGGGGCGGGGTTGGGGAATGCCTCACCCCGACCAAAAGGTACCGCACGTCACTGATACCCATATATAGTACTGTTTTAAAAAAAAAACATATTTAGCCTTTTTATCCATTTAAAAATATTATCCCTAAATTGTTATACCTCATACAAATAGACAGGGAGAATTTAGTTTTACTTACAGTGAAAAATAATACCGGGACAGTGAGTATAACTGCAGTTATAACAGCCAAACGTACAGTTAAGATGAGACCATCTTGTTGATTGCTGTATGAGCTGAGAAGCTCTGATTGTACTTTACCTAGAAGAGACAAATAATAATAATGTTACTAAACACAAAAGATATCACACAAACAGTTATTAGTTTTTTTTCTGTAAGATCTATCAAGTAGGGCTTTTTTTTTTTACAAATAATGCTGGCTTTAGAAGGATACATTTTTAGCTGGAGCAGTTTGTGCTGGCCATAATATTTATTCCAATTTCCTACAGCCATTTATGTTTAGAAAAAGCCAAGTATTAACCTTGCAGCAGAGAACTAAGAACTAGGAATGCACAAATGTTGCTCTCAGACCCGTTGTCAAACACACAAATCAGTAATAGAGTTATTGTGAAGTTAACTGAGGCTCTCTGATGCTGCTAAACTTGGTCTGACATCTAAGCTTTAAAAAAAACCTCTGGTAATGAAAGGGTTAATTAAGATGATAGAATTGCAGAGCACCCTGAAGCAATGCAAACATTTTAATTTTTACATTCTTGCTATTAATGTTGAGTTATCAGCAGTGGAAAATCAATGCTTACGGTGCCTTTTATTTACATTTCTGACTTGATGTACAGATATCTGTATGCAATAAAGCAATACAAAACACGGCTCTGTGCCTGGTTTACTGGTTACTGCAGTCAGTTATTTATATTGCACTGCATCATTAATCCTTAGGACACTATCGAACTGGGTATGTTCATGTACTCTTTTCATTCTGCTATATTACTTTTAAAGTAAGGTAACTTAACTTTGTGACTTTAGGATAGTTGCTATGTTTCCTAAATGCAATAGTAGTTCACTGATATGACATGTCTAAATTTGCTGTACAGTACCTACCATAAAATGTCAAATATCCAAAAACAGCAGTCAGAAGATACATAACAAACATTGCGAAGAATGATATATGGGAGACGAGCTGCATTTTCTTATGTGAACGGCTAGAAAGCGAAATGAAAATGTTATACATTACTGTAAATCATCACACCTAAGTATATTGTGTCACTATTTGCAAGTTATATGGATAAATAATCTATATAACCATTTTCTAAAACATGCTTTTGTGTTCACCTAGAAAGATACAGGAAAATATCTGAATTCTGAGTCATATAACCCTATATCATGTGATTAGGCTTTTTGTTTAAAAGTATTTTTGTTTACTTAGACGAGAGAAAATGTGCTTGATTCCAACACCCAACTATGTGCAAGGAAACTTTGAAGAGCAAAAGTGAAAACCAATACACCATGAGAAATATATTTCTTAAGTAATTGCCCTCATAATGCTTATCTAGTATATAGTATGTACCATGACTTTGGTAAGCAGTCAGAATTAATCTTTCACTGGTCCTGCCATTTAATTGGCTGCTATGGGTGACTTACTTCATGCTCTTGGCATGACTTGATGACACATACTCCTGCTGCAGATGGACAGATCTGCTTGTCTTCAACGTGATTGTAATCCTTACAGCTACAACAGTTGCTCCTCACTAATGCATGGCAGTGTATGCACAGTGAAACAACCCTTCTTTTGCCTTTGAAACATGATGACATTTTGCCACAGAAAACACTGGTTGCAAAAGGCTTTACATGGTGTAAAGCCTTTTGCAACCAGTGTTTTCTGCAGGAACATCTATTTGACCAAATAATAATCAGAGACAGTCCCACGTGCTAAAAACAGCTTTTGTAATAGTATTTTTTGTGGGTCAGTAATGCAGGATTAAATCTAATGGTCGCCATAATAGTCAGGCAACTAGAATTTTCAGTAATAGGTCAGCCCCTGTACTTCTTGGATAGTCTTATAGCTACACAAGTTGAAAAAGACACATGTCCATTAAGTTCAGACAAAACAAAATAAATAAAATAACAAAAATAAAACTTTTCACCCTTACAACCCTAAGGGATTGTTCACACCATCTCCAGACCAGATCTGGATGCGTTTCTGCATTTGTTCTCCACGTTTTTGGAGCGTTTCAGTGCGTTTTTAAAACATTGTTTTATCTTGGGTTTTAAACCGGTTCCAGTGCATTAACATGCATTTTTGTGCGCTCAAGTGCTGTACTTTTTTTTTTTACATTCTGGAACTGAATGCAATGGCATGAACTAGCCTCATTTCAAACTATTGGAATTACTGGCTATGTATTTTTGGAGCAGATAAAAAAACATTGCTCATAGAATAAAATAAAAGATATACAATATGTATAACATGTAGTGAACATTGTTTGTATATTACTAGCAAATATAAGTATAATTCTCTGAAATGTAACATCACATCAAAACAGTATTTACTCCAATATTTACATTTCTAGCTTGCTAATATTTTGATACATTTTGCATTTTTATTACTACCGCTGTCAAAGATGCTGACTTTCTGCAAATAAATAAAGATAGGTTTTCTTCTTACTCTCTTAGCTCACTGTATATGGGAAGGACAGACGGGTGACACACAAATGCAAATGCTAGTGTCGGAAGTGCATACGCAGTCTGTGGATGAAGAAAAAGACACATGTAATTAGATTACATTGAAATCGAATAAAAGACATCACTGCAAATGCCAAACACATTTGCAGAAAAAAGCATGCCTTATAATCTGACCACACAAATGGATATAACACTTTTTACAATGCCGAATTCATTGTAATGGACAGGAATGAAGGAACCAGTGATAAATCAAATGGAAAGGACTAAAGTCATATGCTTAGACATTTAAAGCATATGCCAATGCAAAAAAAACATTTTGTACATCTCTGCAATACATGAAACTTTCCTCATGTTTTATCCCTATAAATACGCTGCAAATACAGAAAAATAACTGTTGATGTGCCAGAAATATAATATGCTCTTACCTTCCTCTTTGATATGACAACATGGTGTATATTTTTATTTCCAATTCCAAACCATGTTTTATCAGCCCTGCCCACTTTTCTATGGATTCTTTTTCCGATGGATTACAAAGAATGCAGACCTCCTCTCAGAGGCGTAACTAGAAACCTCAGGGCCCCGATGCAAGAAACCATGAAGGCACCGCCCCCCCTGCTGCGGAGCATTGCCCTCCTGGGAGCTGTAGTCCCAGGAGGCAATGTTGGGGCCTCGGCGGTTACTGGGCTGGGCACTCTTCTTCCTTTGCAGGCCCCCCAAGTAGCAGAACACATGTGACCACTGCGACCCTGGGGGTATAACAATGAAGGCATGCTGGGACTTATAGTTCAACTACAGCCAGCATGCCTTCATTGTCCCTGTACGCCCCTCCACATCACCCAGGGAACTACAAGTCCCATCATGCCCTTATTGTCCTTGTACACCCCCACATACACACATATAAATCACCCAGGGAACTACAAGTTCCAGCATGCAAGCCCCCTGCAGTAGTTCCCTGGGTGATATTTGAGAGTTGTACAGGGACAGTGAGTGCATGCTGGAACTTGTAGTTCCCTGTATGATAGAAGGCTTTTTTAATTACTGTGTTCATGAAAATACTGGTAATACAATGCCACTATAGTACAGTAACTTTCAAGTTCAACTATATTCTATTCTATGTTCCTATAATGACATTGTATTACTAGTACTTTCATGAAGACAGTAATTAAAACAGCCTTCTATCATACAGGGAACTACAAGTCCCAGCTGAACTGCCGACTTGTAGTTTTCTAGTAATACAATAACATTATAGAACATGGAATAGAATATAGTCAGTTCCAAATTCAGCCATGTTCTGTTCAATATTCTATAATGACAAGTACTTACCTTACATGTCACTATCCTCTTGCTCTCCCAGCTGAAGTAAGCTCAAGCAAGCTGTAAAAAACCCCAAAACACACTAGCGTGCGGGGACAGCGGCGGGAACATCCAGGTGGGTCTCACTGTTTTATCACGATGGCTGCCGCTGGGTCCTCGTGGCGAGGCCCCAGTGCTGCTGATAATTAGCCTGTGTTCACTGCCGGCCCTCCTGCTTGTCATTGCCTGGCGACCGGCGCAACCCCCTCCCGCCCGTCCTTGCGCTCAGAGGAGCCGCTCCATCGGGCCCCCCTGGTTGTTACTCCACTGCTGCCGTCCGGGGTCGTTCTTCCTTCCTGGGCCCCCCCAAGAGGTGGAACACCAGGGCCCAGTCGCGCAGGCGACCGCTGCAACCTTGGTAGTTTCGCCACTGCCTCTCCTCATCTTAATAACCCCTTCGTATGCACAGGCAGAGAGCAAAGGAAGTTATTCACTCACAACATGTCTGGCAAATCAACAGGGATTTTTGCACTTATGGAACGGATATAACAAAAATAACTTTCAATGGTATATTTAACAATCCAAAAGGGAGCAAATAAGAATAGTTCATTATTTACACACACTTACATGCTTTTAAATGCTAAGAGAAAGTCATTGAAAGAACAAGTTGTTTTTCCTTGAATGCTTTGCTCACAAAAAAGCTACAGCATGGTCAAGTATAAAAAGATCTTTATGCACATTCTATTGGCAATTGAATGAGCCAGCCATACATCACTCAATATTTGTTGATATAATCAACTAGAGTACTGCCAGCTAGAGCTGTGCTGGAGTTAGAGAACTAGGCCACATGTTCTCTGTCAAAGAAGCTTTAGGGTCAAGCATTCCAATAAGCATCTCTTCCTCAACACTGATCCAGCCCATTGTCTGAAGCCACACAGCCAATACTCCAACACTAGACACATGATCTGCTAACACAGAAGGATGTCTAGAGCACCAATTTTCTGTAGGAAAGCTAAATATTTATGCTAGTATCCATTGTTTGTTTAATGGAATACAGATAGAAACTTTAGTCAAGTCTTTATCGCTGTTTGTGTCCCTACTGGGGAGATTCTCCCCTCTGTCCTGGTGACCATTGTTACAGAAAGGAAGACCTGGTGACAGAAAGTGGTGGGAGATTTATTAATTTTGAGCTTGTTGGGAAATACATCAACTTTGGAGAAATCTGCTCTTATTTCTTGTTCCAGCTCCAGGATAGGAAGTGAAATCTTGGGACAGAGACAGCAAAAAAAAATTACTTGATAGGGCTTTTTACACTGGTCTACTCTATCTGAAAACTAAAACAAATTTGATCTTGTATACCCTTTAGCGTTCACTAGACCTAGCTGGGCATACACTGTTCTATTTTTTTCATTCAATCTGTGGGCTGAACGAAAAAAATGAAACAGATTCCTCCATTAACACTATACGAGCGTTAATCAAGGAATCCCCACTGTTTCCTTTGTATTATGGCTACCAGCCGCTGTCAGAATACCCGAACAGAGGCGGCAGCTCATTGGCTGGCGGCTCTGTTCATTCGAAGATTTTGCGACCGGCTCCTTTGATCAGCTGATTGAGGAATGCCGGTTGAAAGGGTGCTGACTGCAGCACCCACTATGCGAATTTGCATAATGTATGGCCAGCTTTAAGCTATTTTTAACAGGCAAATATATTTGTCGCCTTTATTTTTAACTGTACGACAGTAAATGACGCTGTCATAGTCTAATATTAGATGTTGCCTATTTCTACAGAAATACTGCCTAAACCCTTCCATTTTAGTTAGTGGCTCAAGAGTCAGAAAATAAATGGTAGGGATTTTACTAGTTGAGATAGCTTGGACTATAGCAGTCCAAGTAAAGTAAAATATAATGAAAAAATTGAATATAAAAAAATCACAATACTAAAACAGTACCTTAGAATTGAAGGTCACATACTTTGGTGTACACATATCCTCACTTGTTGTATTGTGTAAACTACTTGAGGTTCCATTCACACCGACTTCCGGGCATGAAATTTTAAATTTGTTGTAGACCACCTATAACACAACATAGGAATCAAAACATCTACGAATAATCATGGCAACCACAATATGGTACACATTGGATAATATCTCTATGACTTACCACAACAAGGAAAAAAAACATACACGACAAAGAGAAACCACTGGTGTAGCCTAGGTAGCCTGTAAAGGTTAAAAAAAAAAATGTGTAATTATCTATAAAGAATGTTTAATGGCCTTTAAATACCTGTAAAATAAAAGATAACTAATAAACCTAGTCTCATTAAAGGTTGCCTGGTCTTGGCAGACAAAATCTATTTATTTCAGTACATTGAATAGTCCATGTCCGTATTTAGTGAAATTGTAATAGCATTTGTCACCAGTAGGTGGTGGTGCCTCATATAAACACTCGGGCCTGATTTTCTAATGCCATACCTAAGCCATTAGCCAACAGCAGGATGCCTTGCATAGATTTACAATAACTGATACCCACTCATGAATATGCGCCTATTAATTTAAAGTCAAGTACACATGCCCATGGTTTTATCTCATTTATGATAAGCTGATTTGTGGGAAGATTGTTTTAAAGAAAAATATATTGCGTATACATTTAATTAAAATAAGATTGATTAACAAAAATATTTTTTTTTAAATCAGTTTACTACAGAACATTTTTGGAATATCTAATAATATTGCAAATGTTTTCACTAAAATATTCCCCTGATTATAAAGATTCCTAAATAAATGTGTGTGTGTTGAGCTGATTTACTAAACTAGTTGAGAATCTTCACTAAGAAAAAGTATGAATATTCACTTTAATTATCCAGTCATGTAAAAAGTATCTGCACATAATTGGGTATTTAAAATGAACAGGAATTTGCTTTTCTGATTGGAAGTGAATATTCACACAATTTTGTAAGTAAACATTATCAGCTCCTCTAGTAAATCAGCCTCTGTACAGGGCCGGATTCCCCACCAGGCCACTGAGGCTATGGCCACGGGGCGGCAGGGAGTAGATAGGCGGCACAGCCTCTACTCCAGGGGTTTCAAAGTACCGGCTTGCGGGCCAATTCCGGCCTGTGAACCGCTACCATTCAGCCCGCAGCCGGTTGTCAAGTCAGGTACGCTGTACCTGACTTGTGGGAACAGCTACACGGTTTGCATCTCTGTCAGATGCAGACCGCATTGCTGCTCCTGTCAGCTCTGGCACTCAGTAATTCCTTACGGCCTGAGCTCTGACAGTTCTGAGCTCCGGCCAAAAGGAAGGATTAGTAAAGTCTGGTGAAGACTGGATCGCCAGGGAATGTGCAGGTGATGGGGCTCTTTTATACATGTAAGTTTAGGTGTGGTTAGGGATTTCTGTGTCTGGAATTTGCATTTTTCTGCAGCAGGAATCCCTAATCTGGCATTTACAAGCGGCAGCTGTCACCTATTCAAGTTAATGACCAGATGAAGCTGCTGCATGTAAATGCCGGAACACCACATGTAACGGTATATGATTACATGTGGTTAGGAAGCAATCACTCTCCCTGGATGGACGATCAATGCGTCCAGTGAGAGTGACTGTTTTCTAACTGCATGTAATCATATCACATACCATTACATGCGGTGTGCAGGCATTTATATGCAGCCTTAAAGCAAGGAGTAGAGGGGCAATAATGTCATAATGATATAAAAGCCCCTCTCACTGACAGAGGGAGGTGTGGAGGGAAGGGGGGCGCATTGAGCAACCTGGTTTTGGGGCAGTAGAGAGAGTAAATCCTGCCCTGCCACTGTACCTTGCTGGTATATGGTCTATAAAGTCTTGAGATTTTATATTCAGAGCACACACCAGTCCAAATTGAGAATAATATCATGAAATGTATAGAAGGAGCACAGTCTACCTGCTCATTACTGCGCTACTTCATTTTAGATCCAGACTTTGCTGTAATGTATTACTCCACCCCAGTCCCTTTTGTCTGTTATCTTTTGATCTGAGAATCCCAGCTTGTGATGCAAAATATAAATTTCCAAACACGCACAGTGCAAACTTCATGCTGTTTTACACATGCAGAAAGTCTGATGTCAACAGCTGCCAGTCACGGTCAGAATTTAAACATTCCTTGGAAGTCTGAACATGACTGATGATACAGGATGCATAGAGGGAAATAGTTATAAACCAACCCCAAATGGGGCACCAGGACACAATTTAAAGTGTATATCCATCCAAAGCTTTATTGTTTTTAGTTCTGAATAGTGTGGGGAAGGATTAGAACCCTTGTCTAGAGTTTATTGCAATCCTGAGCTTCGATAGAAACAGGGACACGGACAGCAATAAAAACCTCACAAGGTTCTTTTCTTCTCTAGAAAATAAAAATATATATTTTTGTCTGTGTTTTCTTGCAGATTTACACTCACTTCCTGTCCTATGAGACAGTTGTCACTGTTTTAGTAAGTTACTTATTACCAGTATTTATATAGAGCCAACAATTTATGCAGTGCTTTACATTTTGAACATTCGCATCAACCACTGCCCTCAATCTAAGGTCCCTATCTTCCATGAATACATATACATATTAGGTCCAATTTAGATAGCAGCCAATTAACCTACCACCATGTTTTTGGACTGTGAGAGGAAATTGGAGGAACCCCATAAGCAGAGGGAGAACATGGAAACTCCATGCAAATAAAGTCCTGGCCAGGATTTGATCCAAGGACCACAGTGCTGTAAGGCAGGTAAGTGCTAACCATTAAGCCTGGATAGAGGTTTTAATCCTTTTCCACACTATTCGGAACTCAAATAAAAGGTTTTGGCTGGACATACACTTTTAGGAGGACATACAGCCTTTTAAATGCTTGAAAGGGATCAGGTAAATAATACCAAAATGTGTTAATGTTATAAAACTATGCTATATGTATAGTTTGCCAATATTTCTGTATATTGGGGTAGCAATATTTGTCCATGGCATAAGTAGGCTTTGTTTTTTGCTAACAGATAAGGTCTGCCAGTTTGTCTGTCAAAGTTATTTGGTAATGCTGGTATGTGCCCTGTTGATTTAATGTGTACATTGAAGGTGCATTTTTTAAAATGTATATCTTAATTTTAAGCCGTTTTTAATGGGAGGATGGTTAGTATGTAACGCATCACTACAAGAAAGGCCAAAATGTGATTCTTTACTGACACCTAGGATACTGTACTTTACCTAAATTCTTAAGAAGACACAATGGAAGGATGATTACAACAGTGACGATGACTAGAAGAAAACGACCATCCAAATACCATGGCCTGTAAAACAAAATAAAAATAAACAGTGAATAAGACTAAAATATTGTCAAAGCACTTAAATGTAATGCTTCATGCTGGAACAACTTGCTATATAGCAACATTCTGAACAACCCATTGTTCCATGCTTAAGCATCTCACTAATAGATCTTTCTTTACCGTCAAATATAGGTTAAGAATTTAGATTATTGAACCCATTTTGGAACTCCTTTTCTTGAAAACCAAATTACTTTTGGGTGAGAATAGCACACATCAGTAGCCCACTAACTATTATTGCACAGAAGATTTGTCGGAGCAGGAGTGGAACCGAGAAAAAAAAAATCCTTCAACAGTCATTGTCTCTTAAAAGGGAGGCAAACTGCTGCAGGTATAAACTGCCACTCAGCCCTCAGAATTTGCTATAAAGGCTAGAGTACAGAAATCTGCCAGATTTCAGTGGTCAAATTCAATAATTCTTAATTATTTTATAAATTCAGAGTTAAACATAGACACAATAAGAAATGCAGTGCAGGGAGCGAGCACTGTTTTTTTTCATTTTATAATGGGGAGGTCCACACTTACCTGAGTTCGGTGTTCTTCATCTGTAAACTGCTCTTCTTACTTGTACTTCAGCTGGTCCCCAAACTGCTCTCTCTCCCTCCCCATTTGTGGGTGTCCCCTTCAGCTAGCCGGCTGCTAAGGGGTCACCTGTGCGTGCTCACTCCCGGCTGTGACCGCATCTAGCTGTGCGCGTCCATAGACACACACAGTGTGTGTCAACGCCCCTCATCTCCTCCCAACAGATTGGCTGATGGGAGAAGCAGCCAACCAGCAAAGACTTCACAAACTCGGTGATGGTGACCAGCAAATGTAAGTGTGGTGTGTGTG